ACAAATGGGAACTCTCTATGCTTAGACACGGAAAGCCATCTTTTCCCACTCTCTGATGATATGCCCACATTCCCACACACAACCTCACATGACTCACACACGCTAGGGCAGTATGCAATGCGGTACTCTGGGCTATTGTTGCTAATCCGCTCGATCTTGAACCAGTTTCTCACAGTTGAGGAACCAGGGTGTCCCGGTTGTCCACCAATTGTAACGTACCTTCTCGTGCCTGGCGAAGATGATCCTTGTGATTCTTGAACTTTCCAAACTACAGGCATCTCCGTGAATCTGATGTTCACATCTGTCGACTCAAGGATAGTTTTTGTCCCAGATGATGATGGGATTCTCATTTCGAGAAGCATCCTCCCAATGGCTCGCTCTTTGGGGAGTGAGACAATTCTTCCTTCCATTGAAGCTGATGCTGGAGAAAATGATACAGGCGTGCCAAAGTGCATTTCGGAACCGTGTTGCCTTACAACTGATGAGCGAGACCTCTCTCTTCTATCGAGTGACACACCACCTCCACCACCTCGGATGGCTGAGACAATGTAGTAGGGTTGTCCTGCTTGGATCTCATTGCCATCTGTATCCAACACTGATTGGTGATGAGACTCATGAGATGATGCTTTGACATCAGATTGGATAACTAATGATAGCACAATCAAGAGAGATGAAATCAAGAACGTAGTCCCCATAGCCGGAGTGAAGATATTGTTGGGTAACTCACTGAGTTATGTAAATGTTATCTGAGATTTGTTGAGATTGGAGAGAGGAAGAGAGGAACCCTCTCTTTTATAGCTAAGTTGTTTTCTTTTGTTACAACAATCCGTTGAATTCCCTCCTAAAACAATGGAATTTTCATAGGAGAAAGTGTCAAGTGATACTAAAATCTCAATTATATAACACACATGCTTTTAATTTAGCTTTAGTTGAATTTTTCCAATTCTGATATATGAGATATTCATGTGCTACAAAACAAGTGGCATTATCATTTGGTAGGATGTAGTCATTATGAATTCTCTGTAAAAGGGAGGGCAATGAAAAAAAATACTAATATAGCACAAGAGACATGGATGTGTAGATTGAATGATTGATCAACCATCTTGTTGCAAAGAGAGCACTTGTTATACCAATTAAAACAAGACTCATCATTTTCTAGCCCTACTGAACTAGAGATGGACAAGACTGAAAAAATTGATTAATCCTCATTTTCCAAGCTCACATTTGTCGTGATTGTATTTTTTAAACAATCTATACAATCCTCATTAAAATGCAAAAAATATTAGCATATGCAATAAATTTAAGGCATCATATCAATTAACTTTTATTTCAAGTTTTGGCATGTTCTCGTTCTACTGGGGTTTGCATGTGACATGGTTGAAAGAAATTTTTTGTCCCATTAGAGATGGTAGTTGAATAATGCATTATAGGATCCTTTTAATTCGACTCATCCAGATTAAATAATACAATAACGAAAGTTTTTGTTTAGGATTAGTACTAGTAGGGACCCATGCAATGAATGTGCTTTGTTAAGCGAAAGTGAAACAAGAGAAACACATAAGAGTAGATAATATTTTTATATTTTAAATTTGTAGATAATTAAAAATTATGTTTTATATACTATTTTTAATAATTTTTATTATTCAATATAATAATAATTAATTTTAGCTAAATTAATAGTCTAATCTCTACTATAATTGTGTTTTGTGTTTTTAATAAAATGATTAATTTTTTATAAGCTCTACTAAAATAAACCAATTTGTAAGACAAGTGCCATGGATGCGTAGATTGATAAACAAATTTATTAATTGCAAAGAGAGCACTTGCTATCCCCGTTAAAATAAGACTCTTCATTATGTCTCCCTATAGAACTAGAGATGGAAAAGACTGAGAAGTGATTAGTCCGCATTTTCTAAGCTCACATTAAATTTATTACATAACTTTGTTATTTTAAATATTTAAAATTTATTTATGTTAAATATTTCATTATTTAAAATATTTAGTTATTTAAATATCTAGAATATTTAATATTTTTGTTATTTAATTTTTATTTGTTTTAAATTGTTACATAATATTAAATATTTTTTTATATAATCATTTAGATATTTTTAACATTTTGTTGTTTGAAATATTTATTTATTGGAATATGTAATTTTTTAAATTTATATTATTTAGAAAACATTCAGATATTTTTTTAAAGGTAAAAAATGTTATTTATTCATTAAATTTAATAATCCATCAAATTATAATATATATTGTTATTACACAATTTTGTTATTAACTTTGTAAAAATATTAAATTATTAATGATATGAAAATAATGCATTTTTTATGGGAAAGTGATGGAGAGAATAGAGGGGGATTGGAGTGGGAATCTAGTAAAGGAGATAGTGATGCCACATGGCTAGACTATAAAAAAACAACTCTCTCTCTTTATCTATTGGTTCATTGGTTGTTTGTAAAAATGACATAAAATAATATATATATATATATATATATATATATATACTAAAATAATCCATCTCTTCGATTTATACCTAACCGGTTCTTTACTTGTTATGGTTCTCTCTGTAGGTGTGAAAGCATCAAAAGGATTAATAGGTTGGCCTGTAATGGTGTCAGATTGAGATCCAAATAGCATATGCTAATCCTTGACATTTCCTTTGATTCCATTCCAATAAATGAGACATACACCAGATACAGTCCAATGTGAGTCCATTACAAATGGATCTGGTCTAATCCAGTTCAATAAATATTTTGGACCAGTCCAAAAACTGTCTAATCTGTTCAAATTCCCTGTTAATTTAGATTGGTTCTAACTCAAACTTAGTCTATTGACACCTAGATTCTTTCCTTGGATCAGATATTGGCTCAATCCAATATAAATTCATTATATATGAATCAAGTCCAATCCAATATATCATATTGGTCTGTTCAGCCTGTCTAAATTAAATGTCTTGTTAATCCATCCATCCAACCCAAAACCGGTCCACTGACACCCCTACATGCGAGGGCTTGCAGAGCGTCACTACTGGCATTTCGAGTTGGGCCCCACACGGGAGCACCAGAAGTTGTATTCGGTGAAAATCTGTTCTGGACATCAGAAACACGGCCCGTCCAGGTGGGTTATCTGGAACATGGGTTGGTGGTTGAATCACCGCACCTCACTTCCATCCCAACACAAAATCCCTCCCAAATGGGCTCTTAACACAAGAATTAGACGTAATGGACTTGGGCTTTGTTTGGACTGTAACTGGGTTGGGCTCCAATATGCTATGAAATGGTTTGATCCAGTACACTGTACACGATTGAAAGGGGTTTTCCTCAACACGGATGCACTAACAGAAAGTCAGAAACACATGAAACCAGGTCTCAGAAATCTTTTCACCCAAACGAAAAGAACTTAACTGACCAAAATCAATATAGAAGCTGTGAAATATAACGGTTTTTTTTTTAATTATTCAACACATACAAGATAAAACTAGATCAGTCAAGACCAATACAGATAAACTACACACAACAACTTCCATGTCTCCTCCCACGAATTCATCAGTTTATATATAATACAATATGAAGCACCGATCGATCCTCATAGCTCTGCGCTATGGTAATCTTCTTCTACCACATCCTCGATCAGGGATGAAAATTTGGTGTTATCAGAGTTGCGCACCGAGCAATTCGCACGAATCTCTCCTTGCGTCCCTGTCAACACGCTCAGCTGCCCCATCTTAGTCATGGCGTTCACGAACTTCTCAAAGAACAGGCTCTGGTCCTCTGCGAAGCTGGTGACGATGGGCCGAGTCCTGGAGTCGGTGTACAAGTCCTGGTCCGACGTGAACAGCCCTTGCCGGTTTATGAGATCGACGTAGTACTTGTTGTCGAACAGGTTCGGAGTTCGAATGTCCAGTTCAGTTGTGTTCACGGTCTCGTTGGTGGGACAAATGCCCTTCAGGCGGTCGGCGAAGGTCTCATCCATGGTGGGATCTTGGGTAGGGTACAGGCGAGGGGTGAACGATGAGCAGTGGCCGATACCGATGGTGTGGCCGCCGGAGAGTGCGACGACGTCGGTGGCGTCGAGGTTCTTGGTGGCTAGGTTTTCTAGAAGGAAGCTGGCATTGCTGGAGGGAGGTGGAAGGTTATTCAGTGTTGCATTGGTTGTGGCAAAATTGAGTCCGTCACGCCTACCCAAGGGTACTTTGTAATCGGGGCCCCCAGACTGCGATCATTAAAAAAAAATCTATTAGACAAGGGCATTACGGTAATTTCAATATAAGTGAATGGCCGTGGGTCGTGATCAGAGCCGTTGGTGTGATTTCATATGTCACTGACTTAGGTCATCAAGAGTAGGTGTGCAAGTAAGGTCGGTTGGTCTCCAACCCTAAGGCTTAAGTCTGAATTGAGTTCGAGATCAAGTCTGATTTTTCTAATCTAAGCCAGTTCACATTTTACATTGTAATTTGATGCATTTAGGTTCAGTTTGAGCTTGAGCTAGATTTGGTTGGTCATTGAACTTATGTAGAGGTGTAAATCAGGCTGTGTGCTGCCTGTGGTCCAGTACGATGGTTTATGGGCTGTGTTAGGCCCAGTACGATCATGCGGGTCATGCTGGGCTTAGGGTTTTAGGTCTATGGGCCGACATGACATAATCATGCATGGGCCGTACTGGGCCTGGGGTTCTAGGTGCATGGGCTAGCCCAATCCACGACAGAACATGACATGACACGCATGGGCCTGGGCTGTGGGCCATACTAGGCCAACCCTCAAACTTTTGACTGGGAAGGGCAACACAGCCCGTAATAGCCTGTGGGCCAGTATGGCACAGCCCACACTTTGCATGAATTTGACTATGGGTCGTGTCATGCTAACCCGGCCCGTCCCACTTTACACCTCTATATGTATGGATTACCTAGGACTAAGCCCAAACCCAGCCCGAGGACAAAAAAATGTACCAATCCATATAAAATTTTAGGCTGAATTAATACGGGCTTGGGTTGAGGGTACCCATTACCCAAATTGCACCCCTAAGAGAGAGAGAGAGAGGGTAGTTACCAGGTAAACGGAATCACGGGCAGCAAGAGCGGTGATATCGGCACAGGAGACGATGTGACCACACTCCTTGTGAACGAGCTCACGGAGTTCGTTGATGATCTGAAATGCCCGGGCCCGCAGGCTCAAGTTGGGTGGGGCCTGCTGTTCGCTCGGACCACTGGCTGAACCGTCCAGCAACACCGAACCATCACATCCCTACACGTGTAAATTTCCAAGGATTAGCACCTGAGGTTATGTTTGATTTGAAAGAAAAGGTAAGGAAAAGAAGGAAAACATAGAGAAACCTAAGGTTTGTAAAGATTTCTCTATCTTTCCCTTCCTTTCCCAATATTTTCCTTCAAACCAAACATAACCTAACAGTCAAAATATAAAAGGTGGAAGTTAATAAGTCCTCTAGCTGATTCTGACAGAACAACAACTGGTCACAAGAATCCTGGGAACTGTGAATCTCTTCCTGATGTTCTCAATGCACGACCGGCTGTTATGATCGGTCGTTGAGACCTTATCCGAATTCGTTTCAGAGGGATTTGGATTCAATCCCACATTTACGGAAATTGGGCTTATCACATAAGACACTACAATTGTACATTGAGAATCTCTCTCTTATGAATGATAATATATAAACTCGGAAGATCCGATCTCATCACAACCATATGGGAAGGGATTTTTATTTCAAATAGTGACATGTTGGCTTCACTGGAGTGTGGTTGAATTGTTTTGCAAGTGGTTATAGATAATGCTTTTTCGATAATATTGAGAGGTCGTAAATAATGTTTTTTTTTGATAATATTAGGCGTTAGGGACAGGAAAAGGAAAAAAAAAAACAGAATATAAGCTCAATGGATAAATTTTGATAGAGAGACAGCACGGTTGATTTAATTTGATATAGGCACATCACGTGTAATTTTATATACCCGTTTTTTGATAGAGATAAGACGGGTCACTAGATGATCATCCTTCCCCTATATACCTCCTCTCTTTTTCCTCTTTATTCTCCCCATTTTTTCTTCCAAATCTCTGAATAGAGCTTGGAATTCATCTTCTTTCTTCTTCTTCTTATTGTCATTATCATTGTGAATAGAGACAAAATTGAAAAAAGTGGCCAATTTTAATTGCAATTTGATTAAGTTAAATAGCAACAATGAAAATCTAATTCCGATTCCTGAAGTAAATTAATAGGCATTGAGAATAGATGATTCCAATTCTAATTCCAATCCCTCCCCGGTTCTCTCTCAAAAAATAAAATAAACAAAAAACAAAAGAAAGAAAGGCCTAAGGCGCATGTTAGAAACTAACCTGAACAAAACAGTCATGGAAGTGAAGACGAAGCAAGCCTGCAGCCTGTCCAATATCATCCTCAAAGATATTCTTGAGATGGTTTCTGATGACGGTTTCCAAGTTGGGACAGCTCGATTTATAGAAACTCCACGAGAGTCCCTTCACCAAGGGAACCGTTGGATGTACTTTTTCATGCCCATAACCATAATTATGCGCCTGAGACGCCCAACAATAAGAACCCAGCAAGAGAGACGAGATCAGGATCGCCGAGACCAAAAAAGAATGCAGAGAAGCTGCTGCAGCCATGGTTGCTTTGATGTTTTGAGAGAGAGAGAGATAGAGTTTGTCCAACAAGGAATGAAGGAAGAGACAGCCGTATTTATAGGCAGCAGACTGTACTCTGTACCTTTGAATTAAATTTCTTGGCAGCTGGGGCTAGCGTGCACCGGAAGGATACCGATGTATTTGATATTTTTGCATCTTTCAGAATTCAGACTTTAGTTCAAAGTCGTCCGTCACTGTGTCGGTGAAGGGTGATTTTTCTATTAGCATAGTTTGTGAACTGTGAAGTGTGAATATTAACCATCAAGAATTCCATTGGTAATGTGGTCGTCACCCGTCACACGCTCCCGTAGAGTTAGACGTTTCTGCAGTTGGTGGAGTTTTATATTTTCAACCTGCTGAACCTTTGGAGCGGTTACGACGTGGGAGGGTGGAGCCTTGGGCGTTGGATTCCTTTTACCGAGTCAAAACTCTAAAGGCTGAGAAACGATGGGAGAGAGATGAGGATCCCTACCTTTCCCTTCCTTTTCCTTCCTTATCCTTTAAATCAAACCTAGCATATGAGGATAGCCATTTTACCACCACAATCGCCATAGGTATTTCGATTTTATGATTTTTATCATACCAAAATGCTATTTTGTTGAATTCATCAAATACAACAGTTTTATATCATAAAAGTTAAAACCCTATTTAGGGGAGTGTTTCCACTTTGCATGGGCCGGGATTTTTCCAATTCGGCTTCGCTCATTCCAGCAGGAATATTTTCGTACTTATATACTTATTCATGAGGAGATATGTTTAATGCAAGGTTGGGAAAAGGTTGTTAGAACGGTGTGGGTATAGTTTTGCCCTATGAAAGCCGATCTCATCCAACCGTACATTAAGAACATTGATCAAATCCCATGTTTTTACATTAAGGGATTCAGGCTATTCCATGTGTATCCTATATGTGGTGTCTAAATAATAACAACAATAATAATAACAATTGATGTCGTGCAATCTGGAAGCTCCCTTGTGTCTGATGACTCGGATTCTAATGTGGATGTTTACTTACCTGGGCCAAGTTATGTTAGGCCAAGCTGATGGGTAGCCGAGCTGATGTATGCTGCAAGAAGAAGAGAATTAGAATGTCCGGGTGTCCTTTTCCCGAGGAGGGCATTTCAATGCTTAAATCAGAAAATGTTTGAGAATTCTACAAGAGCTTGAGAATGTTTACTTGCGCGTACCTTTTCAGGTAGAAGTGAGTGCCTTTTATAGGCACAAAGGGGTTAGAGCCCTCTTGTAATAGGCCTAAGCTCTTTGCGGAGCCGTTTCCGCTTTGTGAGGTAGGATAATGTGTCGGTTGTGAGATCTCCATGCGGGTTATTACCTATCCGAGTAATTCCGAGGCGTGCGACACGATAAGCTGTTTTAACGATTGAGGTATTGACGCTCTTGGTAGTGTACTGTTTTTGACGGTTAGCGAGCTCTCCCTTGTAGGTCGTCTTAGATCCCCACAGCTTGACCGGCTCCTACGACAGATCGCCGTAATCTTACGGGGTCTAATAGTTCGGCCTTACTGAGGTGGAGGTCGGCCTAAACGAGGTGCTCCAAGCTAACTTACCCAACTATTGTAAATATGCAAAATGCTCCATTCTCATGGTTTCCAATGCTTAAATAAAAAAACTTAGTGATATGTTCTTTTTAATACATAAGTAGTGGAGTATGTTTTGGATATGCCAAGGGGTAGTCTAAAACAAATCGGATATATGGCATCACTCTTGAGTCATAATCAATAAATAATTATCATATGAACAGAAAAAGAAAAAATACAATTTGAATAAGAAGTTGATTCGGCAATCCGTGGAACAACGATGCATTTAGAATGAGAATGAATCAATGAGATACCGGAGTGTTCAGAGTTCAGACCAACCATTGAATGGGTCATTCTCTCAGGTCTCACCAAACCAAAGAGATGGACTCCACGAATTTGGAATTTGGATGGAATTAATTGCTGGATTAGCATGTTTATTGTGAAGCATTTCTTGGCCTAGGCCCTAGCTAAAAATAATATATTTATTATCCTTTAAGTGGGTAATTCCGTAATTTACTTATTTATTTGTTTTTGGACAAAACAACCTTTGGGGAACTTGGGGTGAAGGCTGTTTCCATTTTGTACTGATTTCCTTCTCACGTTGACTGTTGCATGCACGATGGGAAGAAAGGGGGAGTTAGAGATGCCAATGGATCGGTTTTGGATTGGACCGTACCAAATCAAAATCAATTTGAACGAACCAATAAGACATTGAATTGGATCAATGGCCCAAAGTATTTATTGAATTGGATTGGATCTGATTCATCTGTAATAGATTTATATGGAATTGGCTTATGTCAAACCAATGTCTTATAGGTGTCAATGGACTAGGTTTGAATTGGAATCAATCAAAATTAAAACCAATTTGAACATATTAGACAATTCATACATTGAATCAAATCGGTCCAAAATGGTCCAAAGTATTCACCGGATTGGATTGGACCTAATCCAAATCCGATACAATTGACACTTGGATAAATTTTAAAATTGTCCGTCACTATTGGATTTGGATTGGATCAGATCAAATCTAATCTATTGACATGTTGACAAGCCTCAACTAGGTTCATATGGTGGAAATTGGAAAAGGATGATTTAATATGTTAAGCAATCTCATCTAAGAGTCTAGACGCAATTTTGTTATCCGTTAGGGGCCTCTTCGCTTCTCAATGGCAGAGTGTCTGTCTTCTCTAGAGCTTGAAGTGTTAGAAATTGGTTGAGGACATCTTGAACCAACATCTAACCTATATTTTGCGTGAATTAATTAATGGCCTGGTTCAAAATGTCAAATGGGCTTGGGACTTCTCTAGAGCTTGAAGTTGCATCTCGGGTTGCCGGAAATATCATTTTATACTGGTTTGGGCTTGGGACTTCAGGCCTGGCCCATTCAAATTTGACGAAAGCCCAATACGATCCCGCCCAAGTTGCATACTTAATTGGCAATATGCAGTATTAGAAGCGGATTGGTATCCAATTCACAACACTTCTCCACTTGCCATTATTAAAGGCAAAGGGAAAACCGAGAACCACCCCGAAATGGGTTGAATATTTCCCTTTCCCTAAGACAAGTAGATGAGTCTAGGGCTCTAGGTGGGCTGATCATTGTCCAGAACTCACTCGTCAATCCAGTGGAGCCCAAGCTCATTAACTCGGGACATGTAATTTGCTCCAATTATAGAACTCGCTAGAAAAGCCATACCAACTCCGAAGTGGGTCTCTTCCAAGCCATACCAACTCCTCTCAGCCATGTTAATTTCCTTTTATTGCTCTATTCATTAAAACTTGAGCCATAACCTACAGACTACAAGCGAAACATGTAGCATCAGTACGTCAACCTCGCGGGATCAACACACAAAAAACAAAGAAGCTCAGAACGCTGCGCTCCTCCCGCCTTGTTCCTCGTCGGTGATAGATGATAGATATGTGCTAGCGGAGTTGCGAGCCGAACAATTGGCACGGATCTCTCCTTGGGTCCCAGTCAACACAATCAGTTGACCCATTTTAAGCATCGCGTACACAAATTTCTCGAAGAACAGGGTCTGGTTCAGTGCAAAGCTAGTAACGATCGGTCGAGTCCTCGAGTCGGTGTACAAATCCTGGTCGGAGGTGAACAGCCCCTGCTGGTTCATGAGATCCACGTAGTACTTGTTGTCGAACACATTCGGACTTCGGATGTCCAAATCGGTCGTGTTGTCGGTCGTGGCCGTGGGACAAGTGAGCTTGAGTTGATTGGCGAAGAACTTGTTCATGGTGGAGTCTTGGCTGGGATACAAGCGATCGGTGAACGATGTGCAGTGGCCAATACCGATGGTGTGGCCGCCGGAGAGCGCGACGACGTCGGTGGCGTTGAGGTTCTTGGTGGCCAATGACGTTAGAATGACGCTGGTATTGCTACTGGGAGCTGGAAGGTTAGCCAGCGTTTCGTTCCTTGTAGCGAAGCCGAGCCCGTCGCGCCTGCCTAATGGAACTTTGTAATCTGGACCCCCAGACTGCAAATAGAGAACAAGTTAGTTTAGCATGGCTGAGAGGAGAGAGAGTGAGAGGGGGGG